GCAGACGGAAAAGAGCCCTTAAAAAAAAAAAACCCTAAAGCCTTAGCTGCCCTAAGCATTCAAAGGCTCCAAGGAGCCCAGTTGGTTCAGGGCTCTTGCGCAGGAAACCGAAGCGGTTTAGGGTTTAGGGTTTAGGGTTTAGGGTTTAACTAGGTTTGCTGGCAGTTTAGGCTTTAGAATTTAGTCTTCGGGCTTAAGGCTAAAGGTGAAAGACCACTTGAAGCCGATCGGTGCTTGAGGCTCGAGACAGCGATTTTACTGGCGTTGGTGTTTGGCGTGTGAGCCCAAGGTTCAGGTGTTAGGGGTGTAGACCCGACGTCCCAGCCCGGCATTTAAACAGCTTCCTAAACCCTAAACCCTAAACCCTAAACCTTCCTAAACCCTCAACAGCCCCTGAAACCCCGGAGCCCAAGAGCCGCGAATCCGAAACGCCTCAATCGAGAAGTCCTAAAGTCTAAAACCTTGAGCCGCACCCCTTAAACTTTAAACCCTAAGCCGTATAAACCCTAAACCCTAAACCCCTAAACCCCTAAACCCCTAAACCCTAAACCCTAAACCCCTAAACCCTAAGCCCTACAAACCCTGAACCCTAAACCCTAAACCCTAAACCCTAAACCCTAAACCCCTAAACCCCTAAACCCAAACCCCTAAACCCTAAGCCCTAAACCCAAAACACGCAGTCCTCAAGCTTCTTTGGGATGGCGGAGATGGAAGACTCACGGCTGGCAGTCGAGGCGAGAGGGCACCTGTTGCTGGGTGTTCCGTAAGAATTTCTAATATAGGGGCTTCAATCATTGCCTATACTAGTTTGGGGTGTCCTTATTCTAAATCATGTATAATATGCCCCAAAACCCTATTCTAATTTTTCAGGCCCATACATTAGAAGGGTTCTGTAAGGGTCCACACAAGTTCGACAAGTGATCCTCCAGTAAGGGCTCCATAATATAGGGGCCTCAATAATTACCGATGCTGTTTTGGGGTTCCTTATTTAATAATAGGATAGTATCCCCCACAACCCTATTCTAATTAATGAAGTCCCTTTGGCAGGCCACGTTTCATGTGTAGTATCGCAAAAACGCAAAGTGGCCCTCTAGGAATACGTGTTGCGGGTCCCAAGAGCCTTTCGCCTATACTTAGGAACTTACATCTTAAACCCTTGCCACTCGAACCGAACATCGTCAAAGCCTCAATCCCAGACCCTGATTTCCCTAAACCCTAAAGCCGAAGCCCTTAGCAGAACGGTTAGGCAGTCCACAGGCCCTCGCCGGCTCAAGCCGACCCCAGCCCAGAACCCTACTCAAAGGATCAGGGGACTTAGTAGCCATGCTTAAGTGTATGTTATGTGTGTATATGTAATTGTAATTATATATATATATGTAATTATGTGTGTATATGCACAAATATATACATATACTAAGTATATGCATATATACATATATACACCTTCACGAAAATATGTATCAATGTTTAGATGACGCACAGGTTAGTTAAACATGTTCTTCATATGTGTGTATACGTATGCACGCATTCATGCATGCACGTATATGTATACACATACATACATACATACATACATACATACATACATGCATACATGGATACATAAATGCGTATGCACATACTTATCAGCGCTACATATATATATATATAGATGTATATATATATATGTTTGTATATATGTATATATATATATATATGGATAGTTTGGCTTGCTTGTTTTTAGTTATGACCCCTTTTACAGCCTTCAAAATACGCTTGACATCTAAACCATGCTCGAAGCTACCCCTGAACTGCTAAGTGCTACCCTAGGCTTTAACAGAGTTGATTTCGGTTGACCCAAAAAGCAGGTATTTTGGAAATCGGCGGAATATATAAGTGCTGGATACTTAGATTCGTAGGGTTTCCTAAACCCTAAACCGTGGCTCTGGATCCTTAGATTCTTAGGGTATGAGTAAGGGGGTGTTGTAGGGTCTAGGTCCAGACATCCGCGAAGAGCCCGGATAGGTACAGACGATCACAGGGGAGACGTTCCAGTGCTATGCAGAGCCCGGTTCTTCGGTACAGGAGCTAAAAAAATCGAATGCGAGGCCCCGGCAGCTTAAAGTTTAGGCTTAAGTAACTTAGGGTTCTTCGGGGTTTGGGATCATGGGTTTGGGGGGTCAGGGGTTTTATGTTTGCGGGGTTTGAAAACTTAGGGTTAGCACACAGGCTTCGTTCCAGCGGCTTAGAGTTTCAGGGCTCCTATGGCGCAAGCATGCCTTGATGAAGACACTGAACCCTGAACCCTAAAACCCTAAAACCCTAAACCCTAAACCCTAAAACCCTAAAGCCCTAAACCCTCAAACCCTAAACCCTAAAACTCTAAAACCCGAAACCCTTAACCCTAAACCTGTGTCTTCGACTTGGTTTCATAAGCCCTCCACCCTAACCCTGTATCTGTAAGGGTATGGATGGTTCTCTAAATCAGCGTCCCTTTTTACGTCCCCAGTTTAGTACGGCACCCTTACAAAGAGGACCCTAAAAGGGACCCTAATTTAGAGAACTACTCGTACACTTGGAGGTACTTTCGGTTCAAAGTATATGGCATACAAGAAGCTGGACATGTAGGGATCTAATCGGCTCGGCGGAGGTTTCAGCCGCTCTTTTGGGCTCGGTGTTTGGAGTACCTGAACTCGAATCTCCTTGCATAGTTCACTCGAAAAGTAGTGCGTTTTTTGGGGGGTTGGGCATGAGGGTTTAGGGGCTTGAGGACTTCGAGTTTTGGGGTTCAGGCTATTGGGTTTCGTTCCCAGGGTGTAGGGTTTCGGGTGTAGAGATTAGGGTTTAGACCCTCAGCCCTAAACCCTAAACCCCTAAACCCTAAACCCTGAATCCCTAAACCCTAAACCCTAAACCCCGAAACCCCAAAACCCTGAACCCTAAACCCCTAAACCCTAGTAGGGTTTCGTGTCTGAGCAGGTTCGAAGGACGACTCGAGGTTTCCACTTAGGGCAATGGTGCCGCAGAGCTGGCGACAAAGCCCAGATGCAGAAGAACGTGGGTTTAGGCTTGTAGGGTGTAGGGTCTAGCGTTTCGGGTTTTGGGCTTCTACGGTTTTTGGGGTTTAGGGTTTCGGTTTCGGGGTTTAGGGCCTACCTTCCGGCCAAAGCGATCTGTCCGAAACCACCGACACGAGAACACGAGAGACCAGGACTGCAACAAAGCCAAATCTTGCGGTAATTTGTCCCTAAACCCTAAACCCTAAACCCTAAACCCTAAACCCTAAACCCTAAACCCTAAACCCTAAACCCTAAACCTAAACCGCGTCAACCTTTTCTACCCAACAGTTCTGGCCCCCTGCGCTCGTCCCTAAACCAGAAAACCCCCTAAACCTCCTAAGCCCTAAACCCCCCAGAGACTCCAATAGGCCCCAATTAGGGAATATATCTTAAATCATACTAGGGCTCCTACTATAATGTAAGGTATATTCCTTAATTAAGGGATCTTGGAGTCTCTGGGCCAAAAGACCCTAAACCCCCTAAGCCGCTCGCCCCTGAACCCCACATCCTGAGCCCGAAGAGCATCAGCCAGGCAAGTCGGCGTGCCCGCCATGTGCCAACGCCTTCTTTTGCATAACATCCCAAGGTTCCTAGGCAGGGCCATGGGATGCTTTGTTTTTTTTGTTTTCTTGTCGGGTTAAGGGGCTCCGATTTAGGGTTCAGGGTCGGGTTACGGAGCATTTCAGTTAGGGTTTAGGGTTTAAGAGGCTCCTAAACCCTAAACCCCAAACCCTAAACCCTAGACCCTAAACCCTAAACCCTAAACCCTAAACCAAAGTCTTTGGGGCCACCCAGGATGCCGGTCCTTGAGCAGATGCTGTGCTACTTTGCTGACACGGCGCTCAAGGGCGCGGATTGCCTCGACAAGAGGGACAGGGTTCAGGGTTTAGGGTTCAGGGTTTAGGGTTTAGGGCTCAGGGTTCAGGGTTCAGGGTTTACGGTTTACCAACAGTCTCCATTGTAGTCCCTTTTTTGGGGTTTGACGGTTAATTAACCAGTTTTTCGCGTAGGATCCTATAAGTTAAGCCCCAAAGAGGAACTGCCGTGGAGATTGTAGGTAGGGTTTAGGTTTTAGGGGTCGTAGGGTCTCGTCAGCCTGAGGAGGATCATTATAGTCTGATCCTATCCGGTCTCATGTTGCTTCTATGTTCGATGTTTTGCTGGCGGCTATGCCGAGGTGCACAGTAAGGCAGATGTTCAAGAGCCAGACGGCGGTTGCTGCTGCTGCTGCTGCTGCTGCTGCTGCTACTGCTGCTGCTGCTGCTGCTACTACTACTACTACTACTACTGCTCCTTATTCTGCTCGTGCTGCTGCTCCTGCTCCGCTGCTGATGCTGCTGGTGCTCCTGCTCCTGTTCCTGCTCCTACTTCCTACTGCTACTGCCATTGCTGCTGCTACTACTACTTCTGTTAGTACTGCTACTACTACTACTACTACTACTACTACTACTGCTACTACTACTACTGTACTACTATTTGTACTACTACTCCTACTTCTACCACCTTAACCACCTCTACCACTTCTACCACTACTACTACTATTACTACTATTTGTACTACTACTCGTAGTAGTAGTAGTAGTAGTAGTAGTAGTAGTACTACTACTACTACTACTACTACTCCTCTTACTTCTACCACCTCAGCACCTCAGCTACCTCTACCACTTCTACCACTGCTACCAGTACGACTACGACTACGACGACTACTATGACGATGACTTTTACCCCTACCTCCACTGCTACCACCACTACTCCTGCTGATGCTACTGCTGCTGGTGCTGCTGCTGCTGCTGCTGCTAGTACTACTGCTACTACTACTGCTACTGCTACTGCTACTACCATACTGCCATACTGCCATACTGCTATACTGCTACACTGGTATACTGCTACTGCTGCTGCCGCTACTGCTTCTGCTACTGCTTCTGCTACTGCTTCGGCTACCGCTACTGCTACCATGGCCGAAACCGTGCCCTGCAGGATATCACTTGCCTGAAGGGCGCCTTTGCACGCATTCAGGCAGCCCATCTTGTTCAACAGTTCTCACAATAGGAGAATGCGTATAGCAGAAGTCGGGTTCCTACAGTAACCCTGAATCCCAGGTCTATCTAGACCTCCAGCAGACACTGTGGAAGTCTTAAATGTCGCCCTGGTTCTTCTTGCGACCAGCTCCAACAAGAGGATTGCAGATCGCGTCTTGGTTCGTCTTGGTTTTTGAGGTGCGGGCTTGTTGGGGCACCATCGGCACTCTATCAGCGCTCCACACGTAGGGTTTGGGATTGCCTACCGTGGACCTTGTCTTGTCTTTGGAGGGAGGGGTCATGTGGTGTCAGAGGTTTTGAAAGTAGGGCCCTTCTGGGTTTAGGCTTAGGGTCGATTGATTTCAGTTTCATGGTGATTGTATGTATTTTCCTACTGAGCATACTCCTTTATTGCAGTTCAACCTTAAGACGACAACCCTAGACCCAAAAGCTGAACGCCCCAGCCCGTAAGCCCTCCCACTGACGAAACACCCCAAACCCTAAACCCTAAACCTGCTGCAAGGTTCAAGGGGTGTAGTAAGTAGGGTCTTCGATCCGGTCTATAAGTAGTGATAGGTATGGTCCCCAGTTACGGACCCACTCCATACAATCCTACCGAACCCCTATGACACCTTACACACACCGGGTTTAAGCAACGTATAGCACAAGCAGGCTGCAATGATCCATCCTGCCACAAGTGTTGAGGCACTTCCTAAACCCTGTGCCGATACCCTAAACCCTAAACCCTACCCTACACTTAGAGGCCTGGGCAGGCAAGCCAAGTCCTAAACCCGGATCCCGAAGACAAGATCACAAGAGCAGAAGTAACCTTCCTAGGTAGCATTAGGGAGACAATCTTAAAGGGGACCCTTCTTAACCTTACTTGAGGCTCTCTTAAAAGGGACCTTATTGAGAGGGTCTATATCCCCAAGGGTACCCATAATCCTAACTCCTAAACCTTAACACGAAGAGCAACTAGTAGTAGGATTATGACAGAATTTCAAATTCAATGTGATTTTTAAATTCGAATTTATGCCTTTTCTGTGTAGGGTCCCGGTGGCCGGCTGCAGGTCTTAGATTCGAAAAAGGTATAAATTCGAATTTAATTCCTCGTGTGTTTTGTCTCGGTATGGAGGGAGATTAAATTCGAATTTAATCTCCCATGGGTTGGGGGTCTTAAATTCGGATTTAAAGCACCTTTCCAATGCAAGGCTTTTATTTGAATTTAATCGGGGATGCCGACAGCAGCTTAGATCCAAATTAAAAGCTGCAAGTTGTCCTCGCCGCAAAGTTTAAATTCGAAGTAAAATGCTCAGGCTTTGGTCCTTGCAGGGTTTAAATTCGAATTTGAACCTTCCAGGGCTCCGTCTCAGCAGGGCTTATACTATTTGAAGTCGACAAGGTTTAAGGTTTCCTCAGAGCATTCAGTCTTAACGTATTTATGTATGTACCTATAGATCTTCTATGTATTTATTTTTATGCATCCTTATGTACAGGTGTCTGTGCAGATAGCCAAGTTTTCCAAGCGTCTTGGGTCGATCACGAGAGCGGGATTGCTGAGGGCCAAAAAGCCCCATCTGTCGTGTGGGGGTTTAGAATTGGATTGGTTTTGCGCCTCGGCCCGTTATTGCCTTCTACTTACTACCCTTACCGCCCTTTACTGCCGTTTACTGCCCTTTCCCGCCCGTTACTGCTCTCTACTACCCTCTACTGCCTTTTACCACCCTTTTCTGCCTTTTACTGCCCCTTACTGCCTTTTGCTGCCTTCTACTGCCTTTTTCTGCCTTCTCCTGCCATTTTCTGCCTGTTACTGCCGTTTACTGCCTGCCCTTTACTGCCTTGTACCGGCCTTTACTGCCCGTTACTGCCCTTTGCCGGCTTTTACAGCGCTTTTCTGCCCTTTTCTTTTTACTTTCTTTTACTGCCCTTTACTGCGCTTTACTGCCTTTTACTGCCCTTTACTGCCCTCTACTGCCCCTTGCTGCCTTTTACTGCCTCCTACTGCCCTTTTCTGTCCTTTTCTGCCTTTTACTGCATTTTACTGCCTTCTAGTGACCTATTGCCTCTTACTGCCTTCTACTGCCCTTTACTGCCTTTTACTGCCTTCTACTGCCCTTTTCTGTCCTTTTCTGCCTTTTACTGCCGTTTAAGCTCTTTACCGCCTTCTACTGACCTATCGCCTCTTACTGCCTTTTACTGCCTTTTTCTGCCCTCTTTCTGGCTTCTACTGCCCTTACCGCCTTTTGCTGCCCTTTACTGCCTGTTACCGCCCTTTACTGCCTTTTGCTGCCCTTTATTGCCCTTTTGCTGCCCTTTACTGCCCCTGCCTTTCCCTTGAATCCGAGGCCTCTTAACCCGTAGACAGCCAGACCTTTCCCTGTACAAATCTTCGTCGATTGCCTATGGCTT